TCCAAGAGTCAGCTAGGACTTGTGTACTGTCCCAGGATTCTCCATGCCTTCTCTTTGCAGCCCTGCCCCCATGAGGCAGTCCCTTCTGAACCAGCTGAGATCTGGCAGAACTGTTCTCTCCCCGTCACCGTATCCAAAGTCCCAAAACCAAGTCCCATTGGCCAGTTTGGGTCCCATGCCCATGCCTGAACCAATGACTGTGGTCGGACAGATGGAACATGCCAACTGGCCTGCTGGGATCACATGCCTGCCCCTGGTTTACAGACGGAAATCTGAGAGGCGGGCTGGTTCCAAAGAAAACTAGGTGTGTTCCTGCCAGACTTGGGAGATGATTGCAGCATAGCAATTTTGACATGTGCCCATTTTATCCTCTTTAAAAATCCCTCCAAAAGAAAGATGGAAGAATTAGATAAACCACCATTTTGCAATCTCCAGTGAAAGAACTGATTCAGCCCGCTATGATCTTTGGATGAAGCTCTTTGTTTATTGATTCTCAGCCGTGATCATGGCCACCCCTTGCAACCACCTGGGTAAATGTAAGAGTCTCCATGCCCAGGCCACAACCCAGTCCGATTAAATCAGGAGATGGGAGATGCAGTGCAGGCTCCGATATTTTGGTAAAGCTCCCACAGGATTCTAATGTACAGCCAAAGCTGAGAACAAGAGATGAAAAGGAAATATGGGGATGAGAGGAACAAGATAAAGGGACCACAGAAAAGCAAGCACCGAATCCAGACGGTACTGCATTACCCAACATTCCACACCTTTTCTGCAACAAATCTAAGGTAGGTGGGGTTGGAGAAGAAGAGGAGGAATCTAGAGCAGTGGTCTCAAAATGTGTTCCCCATTCCAGCAGCATGGCCTGGGAACTTGTTAGAAATGCAGATTCCTGGGCCCCCTGCCAGACCTCCTGAGTCAGAAGCTCTGGGGGTAAGGTTCAGACACCTGTGCTTTAACAGAACGTCCAGAGTATTCTAATGCATTTTCTAATTCTGTAACTACTGGATTAGGATAAAAGGAATTTAGGATACATGAAAAACGTGTTGTGTGGACATTGTTGGACCCAATTCAAAGAAACCGAGTGTAAAAAGACATGCTGACAATGGCTTGGGTTTTGAGTGATGCCAAGGAATGACTGTTAATTGTCTTGGGTGTCAGTCCATTGGGGCGTCTGTAACAGACTTGGGTGGTTTACAAGCAACAGACATTTCTCTTTTGTTTAAAATAAACTTATTTATTTATTTATCTATCTCTCTATCTTGGCTGCGTTGGGTCTTCGTTGCTGCGCATGCAGGCTTTCTCTCGTTGTAGCGAGTGGGGGCTACTTCTCGCTGCGGTGCGTGGGCTTCTCATTGCGGTGGCTTCTCTTTGTTGCAGAGCACGGGCTCTAGGCATGCGGGCTTCAGTAGTTGTGGCTCATGGGCTCCAGAGCACAGGCTCAGTAGTTGTGGTGCATGGGCTTAGTTGCTCCGCAGCAGGTGGGATCTTCCCAGACCGGGGCTCGAACCCATGTCCCCTGCATTAGCAGGAAGATTCCTAACCACTGCGCCACTAGGGAAGCCCTGTCAACACAGTTTTATGGCTATTGCCTTATACAATTGTCTTGTAAATGAGGTAGGAGAAGAATAGCTTTTTTATATACATTTATTTATTATTTTATTTATTTATTTTTGGCTGTGTTGGGTCTTGGTTGCTGTGCACAGGCTTTCTCTAGTTGCGGTGAGTGGGGGCTACTCTTTGTTTTGGTGCACGGGCTTCTCATCATGGTGGCTTCTCTTGTTGCAGAGTGTGAGCTCTAGAGCGCAGGCTCAGTAGTTGTGGCACAGAGGCTCCGCAGTATGTGGGATCTTCCTGGACCAGGGCTTGAACCCATGTCTCCTGCACTGGCAGGCAGATACTTAACCACTGTGTCACCAGGGAAGTCTAGTTTTTAAAAAAATTTTAAATGTATACTTTTTTAATATTTATCTATGTAATCTTTATCAGTGCTCTTTATTCCTTCATGTGGATTCAAATTGGTGTTTTCTGTCCTCTCATTTGAATCTGAACAACTCCTTTTAGTGTTTCTTGTAGGTCTTACAGGTCTGTTTGTAATTCATTCTCTTGGTTTTTGTTTATCTGGGAATATCTTAATTTCTCCTTCATTTGGATAGTTTTTCTGGATACAGAATTCTTAGTTGACACTTTTTTTTTCTTTCAGCCTCTGAATATGTCATCCCATTGCTTTTGGCATCCATGATTTCTGATGAGATAATAGCTATTAATTTTATTGAAGATACCTTGTACATTGGGGTCCCCAACCCCCAGGTTGCAGACCTGTTAGGAACCAGGCTGCACAGCAGGAGGTGAGCAGCAGCAGAGCGAGCAAAGCTTTATCTGCCACTCCCCATCGCTCGCATTATTGCCTGAACCATCACATTATCACCTGAACCATCACTTGCATTACCGCCTGAACCATCCCCCCCCATCGCTCACATTACTGCCTGAAACATGCCTGCCCCCAGTACGTGGAAAAATTGTCTTCATGAAACCAGTCCCTGGTGCCAAAAACGTTGGGGACCACTGTTGTACAAGATGAGTTGCTTCCATCTTGATGCTTTCAAGAGTCTCTCTTCATCTTTTTCTTTTTACAGTTTGATTATACAATGTTGAGACATGGATCTCTTTGAGTTTATACTGCTTGGAGTTCATTGAGCTTCTTGGATGCATAGATCCATGTTTTGCATCAAATTTGGGGAGTTTGGGGGCCACTATTTCTTCAAGTATCCTTTTTGTCTTTTTCTTTCCCTCCTCCTGTTCTGGAATCCCATTGCACATATGTATGTACGCTTGACTGTGTCACACATGTCTCTGAGGCTCTGTTCATTTTTCTTCATTCTTTTTTCTTTCTGTTCCTCAACTGAATAATCTCAATTGACTCATCTTCAAGTTCACTGATTCTTTCTCCTGCCAGCTAAAATCAGTTGCTGGGCCATTCTACCGAATTTTCCATTTCAATTTTTGTACACTTCAACTCCAGAATTTCTATCTGCTTCCTTTTTTTAAATATAAATTTATTTATTTTATTTTTGGCTGCATTGGGTCTTCGTTGCTGCGCGTGGGATTTCTCCAGTTACCGTGAGCAGCGGCCACTCTTTGTTGTGGTGCGCGGGCTTCTCGTTGCTGTGGCTTCTCTTGTCGCACAGCACGGGCTCTAGGCGCGCGGGCTTCAGTAGTTGTGGCGCACGGGCTTAGTTGCTCCACGGCATGTGGGATCTTCCCAGACCAGGGCTCGAACCCGTGTCCCCTGGATTGGCAGGCGGATTCTTAACCACTGCGCCACCAGGGAAGCCCTCTATTTGCTTCCTTTTAAAAACTCATTTCTGTCTCTGTTAATCTTTTCTATTTGATGAAACATCATTCTCATACTTTTCTTTAGTTCTTTAGAGAGTCTCCTTTAATTCTTTGAACATATATATAATACCTAATTTAAAGTATTTGTCTAGTAAAGCCAACATCTGGGTTTTCTCAAGGACAGTTTCTATTGACTGATGGGTTTTTTTCCTGTACACTGGCCACACTTTTTTTGTTTCTTTGCATTTTGTTTCTTTGTAATTTTTTTGTTGCAAACTGGACATTTACAAAATATAATGTGGTAACTTTGATCTCCCTTCCCCCTACTCCCCAGGGTTTCCTGTGTTGCTGGTTGTGCTTGTTGCTGCTGCTGTTTGCTTGTTCAGTGACTCTCTGGAACTAATTCCACAAAGTCTTCGTTGTGTGCAGCCACTGAAGCCCCTGCTTGCTTAGGCTAGTGTTTGGGATGAGAATTTTCTCTTTTTCAAAAGGGAAACCTGGGGGCTTCCCTGGTGGCGCAGTGGTTGAGAATCTGCCTGCTAATGCAGGGGACACAGGTTCAAGCCCCGGTCTGGGAGGATCCCACATGCCGCAGAGCAACTAGGCCCGTGAGCCACAACTACTGAGCCTGCGCGTCTGGAGCCCGTGCTCCACAACAAGAGAGGCCGTGACAGTGAGAGGCCCGCGCACCGCGATGAAGAGTGGCCCCCGCTCGCCACAACTAGAGAAGGCCCTCGCACAGAAACGAAGACCCAACACAGCCAAAAATAAATTAATTAATTAATAAACTCCTACCCCCAACATCTTCTTTAAAAAAAAAAAAAAAAGGGAAACCTGACTTATTAAAGTTGAGCCATATTCTGCCATTATTTATTGCTTTATCCGTTCTGTGTATTACAAATCATATTTCATTCTGTTTTTACAATCTGGATGGTGTAAAAAATCAAGACCAGTTGAATTGAAAACAACTTCCGTTTACTTCCCAAGTTTATGTTCATTCGTTTCTCCCTGGGGCCTATCTGGGCTGGGCTCTGAGCAAAGATTCCCCCTCAGACAAGGCTCAGGAATGAGAATAGTGTTGCTATAATGAGTAGTCTTTGAGCATCTCTACTGGTGCATGAGACCTTATCACCTTTCAGCCACTGCCTTCCTGTGATCCTTGCTTTGGGCAGGACCTCCCTAGACTTAATGACAATAACTTCCCACAATCACTTCATGCTTTCTGTGGGTAGGGCATTGTGCAAAGCCTCTGACATCCTGCCCCTCATGAATGACTCACAACAATTGGGCAGTCCATTTTACAAATGAGGGAGGCCATGGTCCTGATGCTCTGTCAGAGAGCTAGTGAGTGACATGACCAGGGCTGGAGTTCAGAGCCCCAGCACTTTCCCACACAGGCCTCCTACCACATAAGTGTAAGCCAGACTCATTAGCTGGGTGGACAGGGCATATCCCTGGAGTAAGTTTTACTTCACCTGAATTAGGTCTGAGGCCCCCAGCACCTTCATGCCTTGCCCCCTTTATAGGTAAACAGTAACGAAATCACCCTGCTTAAAATTACCTCCTCTATCTTCTTCCCAGTTTTATATTTCTCCTTAACTCTTATCACTATCATGCAATAAACTTTCTAATTTAACAAAACCATATTTTGGGAGTTCCCTGGTGGTCTAGTGGTTATGATTCAGCACTTTCACGCTGTGACCCAGGTTCAATCCCTGGTTGGGGAACTGAGATCCCGTAAGCCGCCCGGCACAGCCAAAAAAAAAAAAAAAAATCGTATTTTTTGTTTCTCCCTGCTGATTAGAATGTCATCCCCATGAGAGCAGGGGTTTTTGTCTGTTTAGTTTATTGTTGTATCCCCAGTGCCTACAGCAGTGCCTGGACTCAGTAGGTGCTCAGTAAGGTTTGTAGAGTGAAAAAGTGAATGTTAACACCCTTCTAATGGCTTTCTATCATACTCAGAATAAAAGCCACGCCCCTCTGTAGCCCACAAGGCCTTGCCCTCGTCTCCCCCTACCATCCTCCTCACTCACCCTGCCCAGCCACAGGGGCCTCTCTGCTGGTCCTTGAGAAAGCCATGCTTATTGCTGCCTCAGTGCTTTTGCACCAGCTCTTCCCTCTGTCAACTCCCATATACACACATGGCTTTTCCTCACCTCCTCCAGTCACTGGTCAAATGTCACCAGGGAGGCCATCCCTGATTCCCTTACCTATCCTGTCACCCTCTTTTACTTCCTTCCCAGCTGGTATCTTAAACTGAAATGATCATCCATCCCCCCCACTGAATGTCAGCTCCACCATGGTAGGGATTTTGTCTTTATTATTATTATTTTTTATATTTATATATATATATATATATATATATATATATATATATATAAAATTTTGGGGGGCCATGCCCTGCAGCATACGGGATCTTAATTCCCTGACCAAGGATCAAATCCGTGGCCCCTGCATTGGGAGCACGGAGTCTTAACCACTGGACCGCCAGGGAAGTCCCAAAAGGGATTTTGTCTTTTCTCGCTGCTCTGTCCCCGGTGTCCCTAACAGTGCTTGGCACACAGTAGGTGCTCAACAAAAGAGCCTGGTGTGTCCCAGAGGAGCTGGACCTTACCTGTATCACTGCCGCCCCCAGAGAGCCTCCACTCAGGTTGATGCTCTGAGTCTTGGTTATTTTCAGGAGCTTAGGGAAACAGCCCTGCAGATACAAACATCAAAGCAGACGGAACCTGGTTAGGGACTCCTGGATTCCAAGTCCCCATCAACACTAAGATCCCACATGCCAAGGGGCAACTAAGCCCGTGTGCTGCAACTAAGACCCAACGCAGCCAAAACTTAAATAAATAAATAAATTTAAAAAATATATTTTAAAAAAAGAATATGATCAGATGTCCCAAGTTATTGCTAGCTGTGTGACCTTGGAGAAGTCACTACACCTCTCTGTGCCTCAGTTTCCCCAGCTGTAAATGGGACCAATAGGATCGGCCTCACAAGATTTTTGTGAGGGTTAAAAGAAAGAATCTACATGAAGCACACAGCAGTGGCCTGACACATAACCAGCATTCAGTAACCATTAGTTACATCTAAGTCCTCTTTACGTATGAACAAAAGGGCTAACAAGTATCCAGCACCTTCTCAGCCATTTTCTCACTATAATCCCATGAAGTGGGTACTAGTCTTTTCTCTGTTTTATAGGTGAAGGAACTGAAGCTCAGAGAGATTAAGAAAACAGGCACAGTGAATGAGCAGAACAGCCACCTGCAGGTGATGGAACCTTCACTTCCCTTCCTGCAGCCACTGAGATACTCCCCTTTCTTCTGGAAGCTGGAGTTGTCTTGAATTCAAAGGGCTCAGTGCCCCCTTTCATTTAATAGGCTTTTTTTTAAGTGTCCACTGTGTGCTGGGCACTGAAACGGGCACTGGGAACCCAGCAATGTACAAAAGAGAAAACATTTCTGCCTTGGTGGGGCTGACAGTTGAGTGGGAAAAACAAGTAATAAAATAAACAGGTACAGCAATGACTTTGTCAGGTGGTGATTAAGCGCTGGGCACACTAACGCAGGGTAAGGAGATGGAGTGTGATGGTGAAGGGGGGGCATCGTTTTATAGATAGGGGTTCAGGAACAGCCTCACTGAGGAAGTGACAACTGTGCACAGACTTGAAAGAGATGAGGTAGGAAAACATTTAGGGGAAGAGCATTCCAGGTTGAAAGAACATGGGAATTCCCTGGCAGTCCAGTAGCTAGGACTTGGTGATTTCATTGCCGAGGGGCTCGGGTTCAGTCTTGGGTCAGGGAACTAAGATCCTGCAAGCCAAGCTGCAAGGCCAAAAAAAAAAAAAAAAAAGTACAGCCTATGCAAAGGCCCTGAGGCAAGCATGTGCCTGTTGTATTTGTGCAGCAGTGTGGAGGTCAGTGTGGCTAGAGTGGAATGAGTGAGGGGGTGAGTGGGAGGTTGACAGGCAGGTTGTACAGGGCACAGTAGGTCACTGTGTGGTGCCACGTCCCTCTCTGAGGCCCTAGCCTGGGACTCACTCTGGCCAATTTACCCAGCAAGAGACATTCAGCATGAAGGGATGAATTAAGGAATGACTCTTATTTCTCAAGGAAGACCCATGTGTTTATTCCCCTGCAGCAGAAGTTAGGGGTGGGGAAGCTAGGGCTGGGGTTTGAAGCCCAGCTCCACCCCTCCCTGGCTATGGGAACCTCTCTGTGCCTCAGTCTCCTCATCTGTAAAATGGGAGAAGGTCAGTCCCCACCTCAAGGGGTGCGATGGAGACTGAATTCACTGAATGAGTACCCAGTCATGTGGCAGCCATCACTATCTACAGAACAATCATTTTCCACCATTCTTGCTGCAATTTGATTTCTCTGTGAGGCAGGCAGTGTGACCCAGGCAATGGACACAGGCGAACATGGATCAAATCCCGGTTCTACCAAAGCCATGTGACCTTGAACCACTCTCCTCCCCAGCCTCAGTTTCCCCATCTGTGAAATGGGGATGGTAACTCTAGGCTGTGTGGTCGAAATGAGCTGAAATTGTAGTCCACATCGCTGGGATTCCTGCAAAAATGCAATTTTCATAAAAGTCCCCAGCCCTAGGGGTCTACCTAGACACCTAACAAAATGTCAAGTTACTTCCTGGTGGATGACATCTGCAGACACGTTGTGCCCGTCGCAGGCCACGGTCCTGATAGATTTATAGCAGCCCCTGGGGTAGGTGTGGCCAGTCATCCTTTCGAAGGATGGAAAATCTGTGTAGTCCTTCATGCCACAGCCCTTAGCTGCAGAGAAGAGAATAAACACTTGAAGACTCCCTTTCAAATTTCAAAATAATAAAAACACTAGAAATCATGGTCACCATGGCTACTGTTTAGAGTAGTCACAATATCCCAATGCCTGCGCTAAATGCCTCCCTTTCCCCACCCCATCATGGCTCAGCACCCTCCATGGCTGTCATCTTACTTGGGAGTAAAAGTTGAACTCCTCACCGTGGCCCACAAGGCCCTGCATGATCTGCCCTGTCACCTTCAGGTCCTCATCTCCCTGCTCTCTCTTGAACTCACTCAGCTCCACACCGACCTCCTCTCTGTTTCTTAAACACACTTAGTAAGCATCAGCCTTGCTGCCTTTAGATGGCTGTTCCCTCTATTTGGAATGCTGTTCTATCAGATGTCTGCACGGCTCCCTCTCTCACTTCATTCAGGTCTCTGTTCAAGTGTTCTTCCTCAGGAAGCCCTGTCCTGACCCCTCTTTCTAAGTTAGCCACCAGCCCTGTATCGGTCAGGCCAGGCTAAGTGATGCTGCGTAACAAACAGCCCTTCAATTTCAGCAGTTTGTCTCACACTACATGCTCATACCAACATGGCAGGGGAACTCCATTTATCAAAGTCTCTCAGGGACTCAGGCTTGTGAAGCAGCCACCATCCAGATGATTCCACTATTGTGGAAAAAAGAAAGAAAGGTCCAGAGGGCCCTACACTGGTAATTAAATAATTTGGCCAGGAAGTGACTCACATCACTTCTCCTCCCAGCTCATTGGCCAGAACTCATCACATGATCCCCAACTAACTACAAAAAGGCTAGGACAGGCCATCCCACTGTGTGCTGAAAACAGGTGACTAATAGCACCTACAAGTAAGCAAAATCCTGACTCTCTATGCCCTTTCCCTGCCTTGCTTTCTTTTTCATGGCACTTACCATCCCTGCCACCAATGTTTACTTAGAGTTTTTTTCTCCATCTCCCTACTCGAGTGTCAGCAACACAGGGCAAGGATTTTGTTTTGTGCCCTGCTTTGTCCCCAGACCCCTGAACAGTGCCCAGCACATAGTAGGTGTTCAATAAAGACTCGTGGAAGGACAGCAACCTAAAGGTCCATCAACAGAGGAATGGATAAAGAAGCTGTGGTATAGGGACTTCCCTGGTGGCGCAGTGGTTAGGACTCCACACTCCCAATGCAGGGGGTCTGGTTTCAATCCCTGGTCAGGGAACTAGATCCCACATGCATGCCGCAACTAAGAGTTCGCATGCCACAACTAAGGAGCCCGTGTGCCTCAACTAAGGAGCCGGTAAGCCACAACGAAGTTGCCTGCTGCAACTAAGACCCAGTACAACCAAATAAATATTTAAAAAATATTTTAAGAAACTATACTTAAATTTTTTAAAAAAAGATTAGTGGAAGGACTATATGAATGAATGAGAAGTACTTTCTACCACCTCAAGCTTCAGAAGCCAAAACGGGGATGCAGGCAAGTCCCCTACCCATAGTGTGCCCCCTCCCAAGCCTGAACTTGACCCCATAGCAGTTCTTGGGCCCCAGACTCAGATGGAAAACACTCCTAGAAACAGGCAATGGCTTTTCCATTCCACACCCTCCCTCGCCTCAAAGATCCTTCTCAACCATCTGCCTCAAGAGCTTAGATGACACATGGAGGCCAGTCTTGCTCCTTAAACACCAAGACTCAAGATATAAGTCTCACCACCTCACACCCATGAGAATGGCTACTATCAAAAAACAAAAACAGAAAATAACAAGTGGTGATAAGGATGTGGAGAAACTGGAACCCTTGTGCCTTCATTGCGGATGGGAATGTAAAACGGTGCAGCTGCTGTGGAAAACAGTATGAAAATTGCCCCCAAAATTAAACATAGAATTATCAGATGATCCAGCAGTTCCATTTCTGAGTATATACCGAAAAGAACTGAAAACAGGGACTCAAAGAGATATCTGTACACCCACGTTCACAGCAGCATGGTTCACGATAGCCAAAAGGTAGAAGCAACCCAAGTATCCATTGACAGAGGAAGGGATAAATAAAATGTGGTCCATCCATACAATGGAATATTATTCGGCCCTGAAAAGGAAGGAAATTCGTGCTACAACATGAATGAACCTTGAGGATGCTAAGTGAAAAAAGCCAGACACAAAAAGACAAATACTGTATGATTCCACTTATATGAAGTCCCTAGAGGAGTCAAATTCCTAGAGAATGGTAGAATGTAGGATGGTGGGTACGGGGGGTTGGGGGAAGGAGCCTTAGTGTTTAATGGGGACAGAGTTTCAGTTCTGGGGATGCAGGGTGGTGATGGTTGCACAACCATAGGAAAGTGCTTAATGCCACTGAACTGGACACTTAAAAATGGTAAGATGATACACTTATGTTATATAGCTTTTACTACAATAAAAATAAATTAAACAACCAAACAAAAGGATGTGAATCTCATCTTCTCCATGACCAAATTCCATTCCAGGGAATAGTCATCCGGCTGTTGTAACCTCTGTAATTCTCAGGGTCACAAAGTTGTGCTCCAAGGCCACTTCTCTAACCTCAGAGATGAAACAGGGAGCGGTGAGCACAGAAAACAGCAAGGTGCCCCCAAGGTGAGGTTTCTTGGGGACTCAGGAGGGAGGTGGGGGCTTCCCTTCCGCTTCCTTCATGGCCCTTCCCCCAGCCATGGGTCTGCGCTGGAGGAGGACGAACTCAGGCTACCATCGCCCCCGAGAGAGGGACACAGGGTAGAGCGTGGGTCTGGAGCCCAGCACATCTGGTTGTATCCAAACTCACAAACGGCTTTGAATCATCTGCTCTTTTGAATCGCCCACACGCCTGCTACGCCCCCGTTATGGCTGCAACTCGATGAGGGACTTGAATATCATCTTCAGCAACTGAATTTCTCTCTGCACAAAAGGGGCAACTTTAATTTTCTATTTTTTAAATAGAGGTCTAAATTAAAACCATTTTTTCCCCAAAGAGGTGAAATAGTCACACGGCTCAAAATTCACAAATCACAGAAGGGTAAACCATGAAAAGTCTCCCTCCCACTTTTTTCTCCCAGCCGACAAGTTTCTCCCACTTCACCACCTCGACTGTCATGGTTTCCAGTGTCTCCAAAGACGTATGCTATGTGTGTCAAAGCAAAGTATATCCTCATTATTGTCCCCCTTGCTTTATTCTATTCTCATTGTTCTGCATCCGGCTGTTCGCAACACGAGTAGCAGTGGCTCTCGGTGCCCTGCTCAAATCCCGGTGGCTTCTCTTATTTCTGTGCCGCGGAACCCGGCTTCCAGCTGCCAGCAACCGAGGTTCTATTTTTTTTTTTTTTTTAACTTTTTGGCCGCGCCTTGCGGCATTCAAGATCTTCGTTCCCTGAGCACTAATGGAACCCGCGCCCCCTGCAGTCGAAGCTCCGAGTCTTAACCTCTGGACCCCCAGGGAAGCCCCCAGCAACCGAGGTTCTTGCAGTGGCCTCTCCGCACGCATGCGCCCTGGGAGCAGCCCTTAAGCAATGACTGATGGGAGGTGTTGGATTAATACTGCAGCTCCCTAGTCGCTTGGGTGGAGAAAATAGATGGCGTGCTCCTTGCTGCGTCCCCGACATCCCCCACCAGGACAGCCCAGTTGCACACAGTGTCAGCTTTTTTTTTTTTTTTTTTTTTTTGGGGTGCGGGGGCCTCTCACTGTGTGGCCTCTCCCGTTGCGGAGCACAGGCTCGGGACGCGCAGGCTCAGCGGCCATGGCTCACGGGCCCAGCCGCTCCGCGGCACGTGGGATCTTCCCGGACCGGGGCACGAACCCGTGTCCCCTGCAACGGCAGGCGGACTCTCAATCACTGCGCCACCAGGGAAGCCCCACAGTGTCAGCTTTTAGGGGCTATATTCCCTTCCCTGCCTCACTGCCCCTGTCCCCAACAGGTGCTTCTTGGCATCACCTCTCAAATAAACCATGAGCCTTCAAATCCTTTTCTCAGGGTGAGCCTCTGGGGGGACGCAAACGGGGACAGCACTATGTCCTGGAGAATGTACCATCTCCTGCATATAGAGCCTCCTCCTTCCTTCTTTCCAGCTGCATCAGACTCCCTTGTGTGGATTATTATACATTATAAACTCCCCCCGCCCCAAGCGTATCCTTGGATAATTCCTAGGGACCAGATGGTTGGGTCAAAGTGTCCGTGCTTTTTCATTTTGATAGATATTGCTGAATAGCCCTCTATTTTGAACTCATTTCAAAACCCCAAGATACTTCACAGCTTTTCCCATTACTCCTCCAGCAATTACTTCCCATTCCTCCTCCAGCAATTACTTCCCATTACTCCCCCAAATGAGAGGTGGTCCAATTCACTCCGCAGTTTCTTGAGGGGAGCCTTTGAAGGCAGGGCTGAGGTTTCCGGCTTTTCGCCCTATCTCTGGAGACTAGTCTCCCACCATCACCGGATCCTGGCGAGTGTGGGAGCCTCCCGGGGGGAGGGGCAGGGCTTCTATTGATTCTGTTTATTTCTAATGCAGAGTGAGAGAAGCCGAGCTGTACTTACAATCGGGAAGAAGGCAAGGACCACTGTGGCGACAGTGATTTCCACGATGAGAATGATGACCATGACCGAGAAACACGGGAAGACACAGGGTGGGGAGTCGGGGGGGTGGGAGCCTGCTGGGAGTCCTTCCACCCCATCCCCAGGCCACTGTGGCCTCTCCATTTTGAAAGAACACACGCCGGGGGGAGGGGGGTGGGGGGTGTTATTTTATTTCTTCCAGGTGTCGCATTCCTGAATGTTGTCCAGGATGCTGGCAGTGGGATATTCTTAGGAGCTATCAGTAATAGCTGGAGGGACTTCTCTGGTGGCGCAGTGGTTAAGAATCCGCCTGCTAATTCAGGGGACACGGGTTCGAGCCCTGGTCCGGGAGGATCCCACGTGCCACGGAGTAACTAAGCCCGTGCACCACAACTACTGAGCCTGCGTGCCCCAAGGACTGAAGCCCACGTGCTTAGAGCCCATGCTCTGCAACAAGAGAAGCCAACGCAGTGAGAAGCCCGTGCACCGCAACGAAGAGTAGCCCTCGCTCGCCGCAACTAGACAAAGCCCGCACAGCAACGAAGACCCAACGCAGCCAAAAAACGAATTCATTTAAAAAAAATAGCTGGAACCCCATTTCACTGCCACCACTTTCTGAGAGTCTGGGAGGCTTAAGAAGCGACTTCCAGCGGTGTGTGCAGACAGCAGCGGCCGACGGAAGGGCAGGAGGGACAGTGCGGGGCACCAAACAGAGGCAGGAGGGAATTCCCTGGTGGTCCAGTGGTTAGAACTCAGTGCTTTCACTGCCGAGGGCCCCCGTTCGATCCCTGGTCGGGGCACTAAGATCCCTAAAGCCGTGCTGCAAGGTCAAGAAAAACAAAACAAAGCAAAACGAAAAACAGAGGAAGGGCCAAGAAACCTCAGAAATACAAATTACGGGGAGGGGTGACCAGACTGAAGGGGAGATACCGGATGACAGGAGGGTGGGGGCCAGGGGAGAATGCCTCATGTTTCCGATGAAATTCACATGCCTGGTGGGAAACAGTGGGAAATGCTGTAAGCGGGGGTGGGGGGACTTCAAGTTATCCATCGAGGAAAAGCTGCTTCCCTCCTGAGCCTCAGTTTCCCCATCTGCACAACGGAGGGGTGGGACCAGCTCAGGGGGGTCTCAGTGGGTTCTGTGGAGCTTCTAGAGACCAGATTGGGGGGGGGGGGTCAAAGGAAGGTCAGCTCCTGTCTCCCCTTTCATCTATTTCTATCTATACCTATTATTATTATCATTATCATTAAAATCTCTTTGATAATTGAGGCTTTGAGTTGCCAGACCAGCCGATGGCTGGGCTTATCTGGCCTTGACACAGAGGCAGGAAAGTACAGTGGATACACATCGGGGTCCCCACAGTCGACGGGGAGAAACATGAAGGCAGTTGTGAGACCGCAGACATGCGGCTCCTGTATCAGATTCTGAGAATTCCTATTCATATTAGTATTTCCTGGGAATTCCCTGGCGGTCCAGTGTTTAGGAATCTGTGCTTCCACCGCTGGGGACCTGGGTTCGATCCCTGTTCGGGGAACTAAGATCTCGCACGCTGCCACTGCGTGACCAAAAATAAAAAATAATTTAAAAATAATATTTCCCGGGACTTCCCTGGTGGTTCAGTGGTTAAGACTCTGCACTCCCAATACAGGGGGCCTGGGTTCATCCCTGGTCAGGGAACTAGATCCCACATGCATGCCACAACTTAGAGTTTGTATGCCACAACTAAGGAGCCTGCCTGCCACAACTAAAGAGCCCACCAAAAAACAAAAAAGAGAGCCCACCAGCCGCAACTAAGACCTGGCGCAACCAAGTAAATAATTTTCTTTTTTTTTTAGCGGTATGCGGGCCTCTCACTCTTGTGGCCTCTCCTGTTGCGGAGCACAGGCTCCGGACGGGCAGCCTCAGTGGCCATGGCTCACGGGCCCAGCCGCTCCGCGGCATGTGGGATCTTCCCGGACCGGGGCACGAACCCGTGTCCCCTGCATCAGCAGGTGGACTCTCAACCACTGCGCCACCAGGGAAGCTCAATAAATATTTTTTAAAAAGAAAAATAGTATTTCCCAACCTCTGGGTGACTGAAGCGTCCAGAGGACAGATATCCAGGTGTTGGCAAGTCCTATTGGCTCCATCTTCAGAGTCTATCCAGAATCTGCCCACTTCTTACCCTCTCCTGGCCCCACCGAGTCCAGCCCCCACCATCTCCCATCTGGACCAATACAGTCCCTCCACCCTGGTCCCCCCTACACTCTGTTCCCTCCATAGCCGCCAGAGGGCGCCTGTGAGCACCTGAGTCAGGGCATGATTCTGCTCTGAACCCTTCGTGGCTCCCAACGCCATCAGCTTTGGATGGACCAGACGCTGAGGGTAAAGTCGATCGAATTTGCCAGTGGGTTGGACGTGGGGTGTGAGAGAGAGTACTCTTTGATTCCTCCGAGTTAAAACATGGATAAAATCGTGTCCACATTCTACTGAAGAGAAAACGAAATCTTGCAGACACAGCATCTATTCAATAAATCTTTGCTGAAGTAATTAAGAAAGAAAACGAGGACTTCCCTGGTGGCGCAGTGGTTAAGCATCCGCCTGTCAATACAGGGAACAAGGGTTCAATCCCCAGTCCGGGAAGATTCCCACATGTTGCAGAGCAACTATGTCCGTTCACCACAACTACTGAGCCTGAGTTCTAGAGCCTGCGAGCCACAACTACTGAAGCCCACAAGCCTAGAGCCCGTGCTCCACAACGAGAGAAGCCACCACAATGAGAAGCCCAAGCACTGCAATGAAGAGTAGCCCCCACTTGCTGCAACTAGAAAAAGCCCACGCGCAGCAACGAAGACCCAACGCAGCCAAAAATAAATAAATTTATAAAAAAGAAAGAAAGAAAATGAGAGATGATGGAGATTCAGGGAGGAGGAAAGTGAGGGTGGGTGGTTTAACAGTCGGGCTGTTTATGCTCTGGGAGATGGCTAGAGCAAGGATCTCCCTGAAACCCCCAAACTGAAATTGCTGTAGTTTTGCAGCAACACAGTGGAGGAAGGAAAACAAAAGATGCTGGATACAGATTCAACTTTGGGTGGGATGATGAGCTCAGACAAGATTTTAAGGGAAGTGGGAATGGGGGCTCTCGGAGCTGGACTCTGGGGAGACATTTGGCCAAGGCTATATATGAGAATGAGTAAGACATGCAAAATCTGTGACATGCTATTTGCATGATCATGCTTGAAGTATTCATACCCCATGTATCTGAACATGTACTTGTGCTGCATGGCAATTACAATAGTGTTGTGTTAGTGGGGGATATACACATGGGCCAATGGAACAAAGCAATGTACACAGAACAGACTTTAGCATAATGGAAACTAGCATAGACAGAGGAGAACTGGATGGACCAGTTGGTAAGTGCAACAGTATGTCACCAAATGGGAAAAAAATAAAATAAAATCAGACCCCTACCTCACACCACACACACGAAAAAACACGACAAAAGGCTAACGAGCTAAGAGTGAGCTCACAATATCTTTTTTTTTTTAAGTATAATTTCCACTTTATTGTCTTTCCAGGGAACAGTATTTCTTTAGCCTTTAAGGGCTTAGCTCCTCACATAGGCTTTGGTGGAGGTCGTGGGGCAGCACCAGCAGGTCTAAATAGGGCTGGAGGTGTTCGGTCCTTCCGGGCTTCCCGAGAACGATTCCTGACTCCCTTGCTGTGAACGGCACCACTCACGCAGTAATGCAGTTTCACATACAGCTTGGGAAGCACATAGGCGTCAAAAACACTCGCTTCAGGAATGTCCCTGATGGCTGCGGCCTCTACGATGTTCCGAATGACAAACTTCTTAATGGCCTTATCCTTGGGCACGCATCGGGCACAGCTGGTGCAGTGAATAGGCCGCACGTGGCCGCGGCCCTTTTTGGCACGACCATTATTCCTTCTTTTCTTGGTCATCTTAGTCGTGGCAGGAGGACATGTTGCAATTCATATTTAAAACCTTAAAGGTTTTATGGTAAAATCTTTTACCTAGAAATTCCATTTCTAGACATTAAACCTAGGGAAAATAGTCACATGTGTGCCTCAAAACCAGGATGCACAGGGACGTTCATTAAGGACAAAATGTTGGAAGTAACTGAAGTAACCAATAACATAGATTGGGTAGGTAAATCATGGTACAGCCACACAATGGAATCCTAGAGAGTTTTTTTTATTTTATAAATTTATTTATTTTTTAGTTCTGTTGGGTCTTCGTTGCTGCACGTGGGCTTTCTCTAGTTGCGGCGAGCGGGGGCTACTCTTCGTTGCAGTGAGTGGGCTTCTCATTGCGATGGCTTCTCTTGCTGCGAAGCACGGGCTCTAGGTGCATGGACTTCAGTAGCTGTGGCACGCGGGCTCAGTAGTTGTGGCTCGTGGGCTCTAGAGAGCAGGCCCAGTAGTTGTGGCGCATGGGCTTAGTTGCTCTGCAGCACATGGGATCTCCCCGGACCAGGGATCAAACCCATGTCCCCTGTATTGGCAGGCAGATTCTTAACCACTGCGCCACCAGGGAAGTCCCTAGACAGTTATGTTAAATGATGCTTGTAAGACAGGGGGTGGCAAATTTTTTTGCAAAAGCACCCGATACTGTGAGCTTCGCAGGCCATACAGTCTCGGTTGAAATGAAACAGCCGGTGTAGTGGAAAAGCAGCTGTACAAAATCTATAAACAAATTTATTTTATTTACAAATAAATTTTATCTATCTATCTATTTACAAGACTGTACTTTGCTGACTTCTGTGGTAGGAGAATGTTTATTGATACAGAAAAAGTTTTTTAAGGCCTAAATTTTTTTTTAAAAAAGTAGATTGTCAACAGTCACCGTCCTTGGGTATTAATCTAACGGAGTTGAAAACTCATGTTCACATAAAAACCTGCACATGGATGTTTCTAGCAACTTTCTCCATAATTGCCAAAACTTGGAAGCCACCAAGATGGGCTTCAGCACATGAATGGATAAATAAACTGTGGCACATCCAGACGATGGAATATTGGCACTAAAAAGAAATGAGCTATCAAGCCAGGAAAAAAGCATAGAGGAAACTTACAGGCATATTGCTGAGTGGAAGAAGCCAATATGAAAAGGCTACATGGTGTATGATTCCAAGTATATGACATCTGGAAAAGGCAAAATGATGGAGACAGAAGAAGGATCAGTGGTTGCCAGGGCTTAGCGGGGAAAGAGGGCTGATGGGTGGAGCACGGAGGATTTTTAGGGCAGTGAAACTACTCATGCGATGCTGACATGGTGGATACGCTAGTCAAAACCATGGAATGTACACCACCAGGAATTTCCTGGCCATCCAGTGGTTAGGACTCCACTCTTCCATTGCGGGGGACACGAGTTCAATCCCTGGTCAGGGAACTAAGATCCCGCATGCCACGCACCCCAGCCAAAAAAATAAATAAATAAGTACAAGAGTGAACCTTCATATAAACTATAGACTTTAGGTTCTAATGATATCAGTGTAGGTTCATTATAACAAATGTACCACTCTGATGGGGAATGTTGACAGTAGGGGAGGCTGTGTGCAGGGGCAGGGCTTATATGGGACATCTCTGTACTTTCTGCTCAATTTTGCTGTGAACCTAAAACTGCTCTTAAAAAAGTCTATTTAAAAGGATGAAAAACTTACAATTTTTTAAAAGAGAAAAAAATGAGGATTGTAAAGCATTAGCATCCCATGTTTGTTTTGCTGTTTTTAAAAGTTACATAGAAAAGTCTGGAAGGATATAATGATGATATTTATTGAGCCATGTCCTGATGACAAGTATCAGCGCTTTAAATGCATTATGTTGTTTAATTCCCATCAAAATGATACAGCCACAGGTACAGAGTGATAGTTAATTTCCTTCTCTTTCCTGGCGGCCTTTCCTCATGCTGTTTTACTATTAAAAGCAATTACTTCTTTAGCAGTGCATATTTTGGGTTACTTTTATAGTAAGAAAAAAATGGTTTGAAAACCGTAAAGGACCAAGAGAAGAACCATTCCCTCCTGCCTTCCTTAACAGCTTAGCTTTCTGCAGGATTTTCTTTAGAGCCAAGTTCTTCCGCCATGGACCCCAGGTCCCCCAGATCACGCTCTTCTGCTTGATTTCAGCAGCTCTGGGTCAATGGAGGTTACGCCTGTTCCCAGTGCGTCCTTCTCCTTGTCAGTCTGCCCTACATCCATCCTGTTTCCCTGGGGACCACAGATCCGGATGCCAGTGAATTTGGATCAACTTATTTCTGTCTTTGAACGAGCCAGTTGTGGAGGAAGGGCTGCAAATCCCCAGGGCCCAGGTTGTGACATACTTACAGCCATAACACCGTTGAAGAAAGATAACAGTTTCTTCAAGGAATAATACGGAGTGTGCCTTTTCAGCCATGTCGGCCAGACTGGGGAGCCCATTTAAGTCAGCCTCTTCCTAAACCTCTGGGATACTGCTTCCCAAGATGGTAGAGGTCTGGGGTCGGGGGCACCAAAGCTGCCTTGCTCTACCCCTCTCTCTCCTGGCTGCATGATCCTCTGCCGGGGAGGGGTCCCAGAGGCTGCCCCTCTTCTGTCACAGCCTTTATCATATCACAATCAGATGCTGGAGCAAGGTTCCCAGTGCCAGGGAAGCAGGTGCCCCAAACTGCGCCCTACTGGTTCCTCATCCTCCATCCTCCAAATAAGCCACACCAGGGGTGGAGAAGAGGCACAGTGTGCCACCCTGGTACCCCTCCAGATGCCACCCAGGCCCTGTGGGCACAGTGCTCAGCACTGGGTACTAGTGTGGTTGATGCAACCGTTAGATTGGAGGCTCCGAGTGGACAGGAGCCTGGACTGTCCTACTCATGGCTTTGTTCCAAAAGCCTTGTACACAGTGGTGCTCAAGAAACCGCTGTGGAGTGAATGAAGAGGTTCCATGAAGCAGGGATCTGGCTACAAGCCATCATGTTCCCCAAGTCCCTGCCTACACATTAGCTCACTTGGCTCATCCTTCTCACAGGGCTCAGAGAGGCCAAAGTGACTGCCCGACGCCACACAGGAAGCAGGGCCAAGGTTGGCCTTTGGAGCTCCAGGAGTGACACAGAGGTAGGAACCTCCAACCCCTTCCCACCTGAAAGCCTGTACTTTCTGCATCTGAGCCTTGCTTGGCCACAGCTGATGAAGATATAGTCCTTAAGCTCATGTGTCATTGATCACTGGGCCTTTCTTGATGATAACAGAGGCACAGAGGGCATTTCAGGGCAAAAAAATATGCATGCGGGCACTGAGGGTCCCCAGGCCCAACTTCTGCAGCCACTAGCCCTCATTGTCTCCCTGCCCCCACCCGCCCAGGTCCAACTCTGGGCTCCTCTGTCCAGCCCCAGGCTGGAGCATGTCTGTGGCCAGGTCCTGGAGGGCTCAGGGTTTTCACGCTCTTCTGTGATCCCCAGGGAACAACTCAAAGAAAAAAATTACTTTCCACTTGAATTAATTTAATGAATGTTTGTAAAACTGCCTGCTTCTTGGAACATGTAGAACTAAGCAAGATGTTCATGGAGGCGTGGCTGTCTCATTTGAACGTGACCACAGGTCACGTTCACAGCTAGGAGTGTGTCCTTCCACATCTTTCTCTAAAAGGTCACTTGAAATAAGGAGCCTCAGAGATAGAGGCTGAGGGCCCGAAAATGGGGGCGCAAAGGATTCGAGAAAGCGGGAGCAAAGCAGGACAGGAGGGGTGGCATAAAGGAGGGCGGGAAAATGAAGGACGGATAAGAGCGGGGAGAGTGGGAGGCAGAGAGTGATGTGGACGTAGGGGCGCGGTGGAGCGCCTCCCATCAAAAGTTAACAGCCATTGCGGAACTGTGAAAAGACGGAGGCGTCAGGAGCCCCTCCGAAGCCCCACCTCCGCGGCAGCCCCGCCCCCGCTTCAGCCCCGCCCCGTGGCAGCCCCGCCCCGCGGCCGCCTTGTCTTGGCTTCGAGGCAAGGCAGAGGCCCAGGTCCCGGCCTCTCGCGCCCCCTGGCGGCCATCAGCGGAAGCACGTGCACCCAGACCCTGGCGTCTCCCAGTCAGACACACCCAAATGTGTCTCTGTTCCTCGGAGCCGCCGGTCAGCCCTCGCGTGTGGGGAAATGGAGGGGCAAGAACCACCCCCAGCCCCCCCAATACGCACCCATTGAATTGATGCGGAGAGACAGAATAGTGCAGGGATCTGGCAAATTCAAGACATTTGGCCAAAAAAAAAAAAAAAAGCATGCAGAAGACCAGTGCAATTTATCAGTAACTGTTCAAAGGTTCTAGAAAACAGTGAAAAATACCTCTCGAAGGGGCTCCACAGAGTGATTAGGAGGACATTGAAATACCATTGTAGGGCTTCCCTGGTAGTGCAGTGGTTAAGAATCCGCCTGCCAATGCAGGGGACACGAGTTTGAGCCCTGGTCTGGGAGGATCCCACATGCCGCGGAGCAACTAAGCCCGTGTGCCACAACTACTGAGCCTGCGCTCTAGAGCCCTCAAACCACAACTACTGAGCCCACGTGCTACAACTGCTGAAGCCCGTGCTTCCCAACAAAAGAGGCCACCACAGTGAGAAGCCCGCGCACCGCAACGAAGAGTAGCCCCCGCTCGCCGCAACTAGAGAGAAAGCCTGCTCGCAGCAACGAAGACCCAATACAGCCAAAAAATAATAACATAAAATAATTTTTAAAAAAATTATTGTAGAATAAAAGAAGCGTCACTCCAGTATTTCCTTAATTACAGGGCTTAAGGTGTGTCGAGAGTCCTAACGTATTTCTCCAGATGCTTGGTCTCCTTCCGTGTGTTTTAGGAGAAGTTTTATTTATTTATTTATTTATTATTTTTGGCTGTGTTGGGTCTTCGTTTCATGCGAGGGCTTTCTCTAGTTGCGGCAAGCCGGGGCCACTCTTCATCGCGGTGCACGGGCCTCTCACTATCGCGTCCTCTCTTGTTGGCGGGGCACAAGCTCCAGACGCGCAGGCTCAGTAATCGTGGCTTACGGGCCTAGTTGCTCTGCGGCATGTGGGATCTTCCCAGACCAGGGTTCGAACCCGTGTCGCCTGCATTGGCAGGCAGATTCTCAACCACTGCGCCACCAGGGAAGCCCCAGGAGAAGTTTTTAAAAAGCATGATCTCCAAGAAAATGGAGTGTCAAATAAAAAAAAATAAAAAATGAATTTAAGAATCTAAAAAAATAAAAGGAAAACAGAGTCTTAAACACACACACAATATTTATATCAATAGCCCATATTGGTCTATGAACTGTCCCTAAAATGATGTATTTGTCATCAATAGCAACAACAAGGGACTCAGGAGATAGTTTCAGCAGGTCTATTGTTCATGTAAAATTTGTAGCACTGATATATTTGTATGTGTAGGCCCCACAAAACCTGGATCCACCCCTGACAAAGAGGCATTTTATGGTTTAAGTTATTTTAGTAACAATCATTGAGGGAGGAGGTGACAAATCAGAATCCACCATCCAACAGAAATGTCTGGAGCACAGGAAGGAAAGGTGCCTGTTCATGCTGAGGCTGGTCGACTTCCTTGACATCATTCCCTTGCTCTGGGCCTCCCAGTCAGTCCATGGACCTCATCCCTCAACAGGGATGGGTGTATGGGTGTCACCAGGTTATAGCATCATGGGGTGAAATCTTTGACAAGACAGTAGAGGATCATAGTGACAATCATTGCTGCCAACTGAAAAGGAGGCAGACAGCAGTTTCACTGTTAGAGATTTTTTTGTTTGGCTTAACCATTTTTATAATTCCATTTGTTTCATCTTTTTCACATTCTGATTTATTTTTTGAGCCTTTTTGCGCACTCTGAGTGCTGAGGCCCTGTGGGTTGGGATGTGACAGGTAGGCCCCCGTCCTACAGGGGAGACTCACTGCTCTCCCAGGTTCTCTTTCTCTCTACTTAAAAATCTGGAATTTCTACTCCTTCAGCCCAGCAAAGTCTTAGCTTCATGAAAGGAGAGGAGTAAATGAAGGAGCACCAAAAGATTCTGACTGATATTCAAAATACTCAGCCAGAAAGTACCACCCAGGAAGCAATGATCCAGACAGAGCAGAGTGTGTCAGGAATGTTGACCCCATAGGACTGGGAGGACTGGAGGTCCTGGTGAGAGTTCAGGCACAAATGGCCACCAGGCCAGTGGGTGCAGGCAGCACTCAAGGGCCTCCTACTTTTAGTGTATGGGTCTTGGGTTATAATTTGCTTTCTTAACCTGGTGGCTGGTCCCAGCACGGTAGCCAAGACTGTTGTTCCCATTCTACTGAAAAGTTCATAAATAGCTTTCAGAGATTTTGTGTAATGTCTCAAGGGGAGACTGTAACAACTGCAAATGGGACTTTTTTAAGTATACGTGTTGATGGGGGAGATTTCCCCCTCTAGGAATTTCTACTACAGATGTATTCAAACACATAGAGACCAGGAGTTAACAAACCTTTTCTGGAAAGGGCCAGAGAATAAATATTTCTCAGTCATCACTCTGCTGTTGTAGCATACACAGTATGTAAATGAGCAATATGTAAATATATGTAAACGAATGGGCGTGACCACATCGCCAAAATGTTATTTACAAAAACAGGTAGTAGGCTGTAGTTTTGCCAGCACTTGCTCTAAAGCCTAGTTTGAGTTGGCGAATGATTAGAAATAACCTAAATGCCCTTCCCAGGGGGACTGGTTAAATATGGCATGGTCCAACCATAGGAGGGTGTGACAGAGTGAATTGTGCCGTGACACCCCCCGCCCCCGGAAATTCATATTGATCTACAATCCAGGGAGAGAGAGACCTCACCAGAAACCAACCCTGGCAGGTTGATTTTTGGATTCCAGCCTCTAGAACTGTGAGAAAATAAATGTCAATTGTTTTAAGCCACCCAGATTGTGCTATTTCATTCTGGTAGCCTGAGCTAAGATGAAGGAATATTCTGCAGCTGAGAAAATGAAGGCAGAAGTACCAAAGGTAATTTGGGATCAAAATGAGAAGAGCGCCAAGTGATGGTCTCTTAAGTGAAGAAATAAAGTACAGAGCCGTGTGTATGGACCGAATGAATATTTAAACAAACAGTGATCTAGCCATACAATGTAATATTATTCAGTCGTAAAAAGGAATGAGGCTGTGATACACGCTGCAACATGGATAAACCTTCAAAACCTCATGCTGAATGAAAGAAACCAGACCCCAAAGGCCACGTATTATCTGATACTGTTTATATGAAATGTCTAGAATAGGCAAATCCAAAGAGACAAGCAGATTTGTCATTGCTGGGGGCTGGGGGAGGAGGGAATGGGACTGACCGCTTTCTGGGGACAGGGTTTCCTTTTGGGTGATGAAAATGTTTTGGAACTAGATAGGGTTGGGGTTGCCCAGCATGGTGAATGTCCTAAATGGCAGAGAATTGTACACTTTAAAGT